TCGTCGATTATGAAAGTGGTGTAAGTCCAATTGACAGAGGTAGGTGGCTCAGCAGATTATTATAATTATTATGATGTAATAACACAATGTAGAAAACATGATAAATTCATTTTACATGAAACGAAACGAGAGAATTTCGTTTCAATAAAAAATCTCCAAAATGCAATTAAAAAACAGATAAGAAAAAACACTAATGAAGAACAGGTGAATTGGTTGCAAATATGTTGGATGAGGTTTCTCAAAAGTGCACCATACACTATTTTCTATAAAGAAGACCGGTAAAATTTGAAAAAATCGCCCTGGTGCCTTTGTACCAAGATGCCAGGCCTATTACTTATGAAAAATATAAAGACATCAAGCAGTTATTACCTTATATACCTCCGGTGCATCGTGCATATTTCGAAACACTGCCACATGCAGAGCATAAGTAAATACTATCGATATCTTATAATTTTAACAATGTAATTAGCGTCTAAAATTAAAAATACTACTTCTGTTTTATCTCCTGTCATTATTTATAAAACAAATTGGATTAATATGAAGTATATTTTAAGTTATATTTGATTTTTCAAAATTGAAATTAAACGATTTTTATAATTGTCTAATTTTGAAAGTGGTGTAAGTCCAGTTGCAGCCCGTAAGTATACATCAGTTTAATAAAATATGCCTAAAACAAATTTATATAACCAAATTACATATTGATAAAACAGTAGAAACATTGCCAGACTTCATATAATTTGCCTAAATTTTTTAATTAACAGATATGTTAACCTTTAATTTTCTCGAAACAAGAGAAAATGGACCTACACCACTTTCAAAATAAACGGTCCAATTCTTGTAATTAACTAATTTCTTTCTTAATGTTGTTTCCATTGATGAATTGAACTTGTTAAAAATCAGTGAAGGTGTTCTTCGATCGATCGATTCAACTTAATTAAAATTCGACGTGATTATATAATATATAGCGACAATCATACTGCAGATTTTTATTCAAATTCACAGCTTCACAGCAAAAGATCTTCAAAATTGAAGTGCAACAATATTTCATTTTCTGTGCTAATGATTTCAATAGATGAAAAATCTGCAATATAATGATGATTAATCGGCGATCTTCAATCGTGATCAACCAAAAATTCTTTAGTAGGTAGACTTCTAATGATCAACATATTTCCAGCAGTGTTAATCAGCAATTAAAGAAAAACATAATTCTCTAGTGTATCAGAAATGCAATATTCCAAAGAAGATCAATATCTACACTTTCTCAAATCGTTTAGTTGAACGTCGAAAGTACTATAAATGCATGAAATCCGTACACTACTCAATATTCAACACACAATACTCCGCAGTTAGCATTGAACAGACAACTGGGGTACGTTCACGTAACAAAGAGAATTCTAAATTGCTTCTTGACTGCTAGAAACCGATCGATTAATCTTATTGATTGTGTTCTTCATATTGTATATCTGAGACTATCCCGACTACTTCTCGGCAGTGACGGCGGCTCACTTTCCAAGTCAGCAACCGTTATTGGTGGAACGTAATTCTGTTACCTATCCTGGAACGAAGACCTAATGTTGTATCGATTCAACCTGCTTGCCGGGACCTTCTTTAGCCGGCTACGCGATCATGTAATTCTAATAGACTGTCCACCAGCCTATCTTTGTATTGCGGCACATCCCTCATCTGCTCGCAAATCAGCGGGGTTCTGTCCACGTAGAGAACGCTTTCCAACAGTTCCGGTTCGCGGCTGAAATACTTGCTAGCCGCGGAGGGTTCCAACAGCATGATGGGGATGTTCAAGACACCGTGAGTGATGCACATAACTCGCAAATCATTGATGGACTCCATGAACTCTTCCCAGGGCAGTACGGTGGAAATGTCCAGATTAGCTTCTTTTAGAGTGACCGCCATTGTTTCGTGATAAGTTTTAAACAACTCTTCGCCGTGTTTTTCGCGAAGCTCTCGAGTCGTGGTGAATTGGAGGAAGCAAAGCACATCGTGCGCTGGAGGGTTGTATCTGAAAGTTGAAGAAGTTTACTAAGATTTAATTTTGTTTCAATATTCATTTGGTATTAGGTATGCCCTAGTTAGTTAAAGTGCAACACACATTTTCAGTATAGAAGAAAATGTATACTCTTTGTTTTTCGTTTAGAAAATGTGCTACTATCAAAAAAGATGGTAGATTTATGAAAACAAGTAAAGATTCGTTTATCTTAAATGAAATAACGATATTTTATGTACCTTCACTCTTTGTGAGTTGAGAAACACATTCAACCATGAGTTAAATTCTAAATAAAACAGAAATGTTACTAAAATTTTTACTTCATTGTATTCACACGTTCTTGTTTCCGCAATACAAGGGGAATATTTAATTTTATTCTGTTATTACCTAAAAGCGATTTTGTGCATTACGTTCCATATCAAATCGACAATTGTTACTTATATTCCATTCGGAAAGATGTGATTCCTGTTACTGTTCAAATTCTATTTGTCGTCAATTCGTGCCTTACCTGGCGAGCTGAAAATCGATGAGGCAACATTCCACGGGTTTCTCCTCCGCATCGTACTTGAACAAAATGTTGTTCGCCCACAGGTCCCCGTGACAGAGTACGTTCTTGTGTTTCGTGGAGGGCAGCAATTTGCCGGCGTGGTCGGCGCACAGATCAATCATCTTCGATTTAAACGCGATCCTCTGATCCTCGTCCAGCTCCGTCATTAGTTCGATCACCGAAACGGTGCCCTTCACGGCCGCGTCGAACATCGCCTTCGCGCGGCCCTCCTTAAGAGGCCAAAGCGTCTCCTGCATACAATGAGAGAACTCGTCGTGCAAGTTCTTCTGGTACACTTCCTCGAATATCAGAGACTTCGCGTGGAATTTGGCCAGGGTCTTCATCAAGATCTTGCAGTGCTCGAAATCGAACGGTTTTAATTTGTCGGTCATCTCGTAGCCGCTGTGGACCATGTCCTCTAGCACGATCACGTCGTTCTCCAACCCGAGGAAACACTCCGGGATGCATCTCTCCTCCAGCGGGTCCAGCATTTCTGGGAAAACCGTAGTGTACAAAGCTACCTCTTTTTTGAAGCTGCCGTACTCGCACATGAAGTCGTATTGAGGGCTGGACAACGGCGGCGGCAGCTTCGTGAAGAAGTTAATGCTCCTGGTCTCGAGGGGCGATTGCGGGCATGCCACTGTAGCCTTCAACGTGAAATACTGGCCCATGAAGCCGTTCACCTCATCTATCGGTACCATCTCGTACGTGATAAGCGAGAAGTCCTCCATCGACTCTTTGTGCAGCTTCTTCCGGATTATCTCGAAGCATTCCTCGTCCTTCAGTATCTGTTCCGTACTGGCATTACGCATCTTACCGACTTTCAGTTAGCAATTCCAAAATTTCTTACAAATATGTAACCGCGTTTGCGGATCTTGTTGAAAGGTTTTAGTATTTCTTGATCCTCGGAAGAATTAAGTCTTCTGTGACAATCGCGATCAGTTCTTTGATTTTAGAGGTTTTATGTTTTACGTAAAAATGGTTGAACATTACTTATTGGGGGATCCCCTTTTCGCATAGCCTGACGCTTCGAAAGATATCTGGTCGGGATGTAGGTCCGTTCAAGATCAAGATACCTTTATATATTGGTGAAGAGTCGCGAGTCACGTGTACGTTACGTTAATAATGGCGCATACTCGTGTGTCGCTATTTTCTTCTTTATTGGCTCTGATTGAGGCTAATATTAGACACGTTATATCAAGCACTCGTCCTGCATAAATGGATCTGATGGCACCTTATTGACACTACTCGTGTGGATCGATAGAGGCCACATGCAGCCGCGGGACGGGGATCCGTGTGTTAATGTGCAATGTTAAGACGCTCTGATGAGCCGGTATGGACGGTATTCGTTCCGATTATTAGACAGATATGACTGACCGACGTGCTCGCGAGCTTCACCGTGACGTCGCGAGACGGTCACGTTCCACACGTGATGACGATCAAACACTCTTAGCTTGGCGCTCCTTAAATCGGTCACGCAAAGTGATCTGGGAAATTTGATTCGTCGTCGGGTTAAACGAAATTCAGATTGAATGAACAGCAAATGGTAATGAATAAAGTCTAATGATCTGACCACCATTGTGTGTTATAATAGTATCGTTTATTTTTCAATTTGTTTCCTTTCTTATATTGCATTAGTGACTGGCAGACGTTTATGTTTATATCATTTGTAGAAGTAAATGTTACAGTGAGTTCCGTTTTCATTATGGGAAAGAAGGGTCTTCAGTGTTGAAGAGTTGAAGTAAAGAGTCTGATATTTTTGGTACTTATCTTCATAAACAGGTTTAGCAATATTTTATTCGAACAGCATAGGGTGTTGATGAATATTTCACAGAAGCTCAATCACAAATTAAATTTATTCTTTTTTTTAAGGAACAAAATGAACATAAGCCAATTTTATTTCTCTCCTGGGCCAGATATAGACTTTGGTATTCAAGTTTCGTTGAAGGAAAAGTGGAAATTAGTCTGGATAGGTGTCAGAGCCTCGAGGACCCACCAACCTCACAATGATTAAATTCTAGGTTCAAGGTCCCATCGGTTAAAGCCTTCAGCTAGACAATCATTGTAGCATAATCTAATAGTGGAGTCACTGAACTGATTGTTGATAAGACATGAATTGAATACGTAATCCATTGCGATGCGACGCAGTTAATAAACGTTATGTATCGTTGATGTAAGATAAGATTCAGAAAACCGCAATGTAATCCTGTTAATTGAACTATCGCTCGAGTGCTTCCTCAATGTAAAAGCCAGCAATCTTCTGCTTGACATTGCTAGTTAGTCTTAGTTAAATTCAGCTGCACCCTTTATTCCATTAACCATCGACGCGTGTGTTTATTAATCCGACCTTTTCCTTTTAAAAGAAGGACAAATATTTTGCACTAATGTAAGATACTTGGAATCTGCTAATTTGAGTGTAAGTGCAGAAATTGATTCGCTTGGTAAAGAACACTAAAAAAATATAAAAATATGCTTCGAGATATTCCGTTTTTGGAAATATTAAGTTTCGAACTATGCGAAGCATTTTCATTAAATTAATTTGTATTCATCATTATCTATATATTAAAAACAAATTTCCTGACTCGTCTGACTAGGTTAATGAACAGAAACACCAGTGAAACATGAGCAAAGGACACAAAGAATGTTTCAAGTCGCACCGCAATGACACGGTACTTGGAATGTACTCCACTTTTCTATCTACGAGAGTTAATGATGAAAATTGTCCGATTTTGAAACTGGCTATCAATACAAATTTATTCCCGAAATATACGCACGTTTATTTATTTGAATTAAATAAATGGTAATAGAACATCGATTTTGGTGAATATTAAATTAAGTTTCTCGTAAATCGATGTACACTGCAGGGCGGTGGTGCTCGCACCACCGTCTTTGCGGCGGGAACCTTTGCTGAGATCCTACTTCATTGTAATCTGTCCCACATTTTTTTCTCTGAGGGCAGAGCACAGGGAAGTTAATGGGATCTTGGCACTGGCAATAAGCCATCCTCTGATCCGTAGATGAGGGAACATCGTAACTCGGCAATGTGGTCTGATCGCGAATTGCTCAACGTCACCCTCACTTTGCCCCTTTTTAATCAGAGACATCTTCCCTGATTTCTCACATTGTCGAATCAAGAACATCTTTCTTGATTCACCCCCTTTGCAACTTGGTCCGATAATTGCTGGGCATACTGCGGCCCATGTATAGTTTTATAAAGCTAAACTAAGTTATAATTAAGCTTATATCCCCTCATTTTGCTCTTGTTGAACCAGAGACTTCCTCCCTGATTCGTCTCATACATGAATCAAGGACTTCTTCCTTGATTCACTGCCTATACTGCGATGACTGTATAATATAAGTTATGCGTTGCAGCTAAACTAAGTTAGATTTAAGTTTGCGAAAGAAGACGTCGATCGTTCGTCGTGGGATACTTCATCGTTTCAAGCTCAAGAAAGGAAAGAGTCGCTGTGGAACACTTCATTTCAGGATCAAGATAAAAAATAGCCGCCGAGGGATTAGTATAATATTTAATGCGATAGGAATAAGTGTGTTAAAAATAAGATTTAAAATTAGAAAGGGAGGTGGATGGAATTTGAATTTGAATCTCTCTGGGTTTCATTCGCACCAACCTCCACATGGTGAGACCTGGAAACTAGCATTATCGCCGATAAAGTAATTCCTATCGAGGACCGTGCTAGGCTAATCAGCTGCGAAATTGTATGATGCATATTATAGTAAGCCGAGTAGTTATTCTTTAGCTTGATTTATCTCCTTTTTAATCAAAGACTCCTTCTCCAATTTCTCTCATTTTAGAGAATCAAGGACTTCTTTCTTGATTCATTCCTTTTCTTCGACCTTCGCAACGTCTCCACATATAGTTTAAGATAAAATTAAGTCTCTTTTAAGTTAGCCTTAAGCTAAACGAAAAAGCATGGGTCATCCGCCGTGGGAAATTTCTTCATCATTCTAGTATAGCATATAATCTTTCCAATACAACAAATAATTCTTACTAATAATTAATGATTCTGATCCAAAAAATTTGCATTTTTGACTGCTAGTGCCATCGGCTGCGAAACGCTCGAATAGAGAAATGTTACCGACGTGGGAGTTTACGCGGATTGACTATGGCGCCAGCCATGGTAAAATCGTCGAACTATTAAACGGCAAAGTTTATCGTTTCAAACACGAAGTTCCTACTGTGGATACTATAGATTTCTAGTTCTCTTTTTCTTTTCATTTTCTTTTTCTTACCTAGCCTTAAGAACGTCATGTTTTAGATTTGTAATTATATATTCAACTGTTCTATGTATAATTCTCAGCATAAGGCTAACAAATGTAAGTATATGTAAGTAAGTAAATGTAAGTAAAAATGGTATTCTTCCTTTTCGACTATATTTCTTAAATTGTATTCATTTACTAATCGAATAAGACAGTTTCTGTTTCAGTTCCTTTAGCTTATCCTACTCATTTATTTCAGCTCTAATTCTAATCTATCTCTACTTTAATTTTAAACTAATGTCATTTTATCATCGACACATTATCAATGTATGCTTAATACAATTTTTATTTGTTTCAGCTCTAATTGTAATCTACTTTTAATATAATTTCAGTCGAATCTTAATCTAATTTCACTTTCACATTGACACATTATTCATTTATTCAGAATACACTTTTCATTTAGTGTTACTACAGTTCATTTACAATTCCCTCGAAACCATTTTACAAATGTATATTCTAATTCAGAATAGACTCAAGAAAGAAGACAGCCGAGGTATTAGTATTATTAAGAGCGTTATATATAAGTGCGTTAACAATAAATGCGATAAAAATAAGTGCGTTAGAGATAAAATTTAGAATTAAAAACGGAGGTCGATGGAATTGAATTTCCATCCACCTCCCAGGGTCTCCTCGCAGCAACCTCCACGTGGTGGGCCTGGAAACTAGCAGCATCGCCGGTAGAGTAATTCCTATCGAGGATGGTGCTAGGCCAATGGCTGCGAAATTGTGTAAAATATGCCGAGTATATTAAAAATATTCGAATATAATCGATTCGAAAGATCATGATAGACGCACCGCAGGACGGTGGTTCTCGCGATATCCAATTACAAGTGAACAATAATTAAATTATTCCCCTTTTTGTTCAATTGTGTTTGAATTTCTGTCAATCGTTATTCTATTCTTATTATTTGCCTGATGGAATGTCACGTTGCAACTTTCAATGCAACGAATAACGAATGTGGCGCCCAATTCACACATTTCTCCGACGCCCCATTCACTGCGCGTCTCTCAGCGCGTACTCGAACGCCGTTCATGTCGCCCAGATAACAAATTGTCCCTAGGGACCTCATCTGACGCGCTTTTAGGTATGCCATCTTCTTTGCTTTCGTCTTCCGAAAAGATAGACTTTATCTCGCTCCATTCGGCTGTTGTTCCTGACAAGGACTGCACGTGTTATCGCATCCTCGCAAATCCTTCAGGCAGCCGGAGAATCTCTACATCTGAGATTCGCGTCTACCGCGTCGCGTTCTTTTCTACGCACTCGTGCTGGATATAAACCAAGGGTGCCTAAGTCGATGCCCACGGGCACTCTAGTGACATTCCCCTCATGAAAAGTTACCCTCCCTATACCTATTTATTTTCAACCTTTTGCGGACAAAGATTCTTGAAAGTATACAAAACCTTTTGCAGATTTTGCTAAACACTGAATGCTTAAATCATAGAGCATAAGAAAACTGTGTACTGATTTTTTGCTATTCGAATAGTTAAATCATTTGTTCGCAACTTGGTATTTCAAACATGGAAGTTTAATCTCAGCAAAATGCCGACATTCGTCCGCGAAGGGTTAACTGTTGTATTGAACACTACATAGAACTATTAACATAGCAGTCTTAGGCAGCTCCTTGAGTAAAGATAGTGGGGGAACATTGTTTTCGAGTTACTAGCGTAAGGGACATAAGTTAGACACCTCTGGTATAAACCGTTCGTCTCTATGAATGTTACCGCATAGTGCTTAACGCGTTAAACGCCATGTCAATCAGCGATGACTGACGCTTCTAAATTACTTGAAAACAATTATAACAGGCAAGGTAACCGATGTCGAATGAAAATGTTTAATAATGTAACTAAGTTAATAATAGTGTAATGCAAGGATTGTAACGCCAAATAACTAATAGTTCTTCCTGCTTGTCTTTGCTGCAAAAGAATAACTCTACGAAAAAGCGGTCAAGATTTCCATGGCGCTTAACGTATTAAACATGTTTTGCGTAATGAACTTATTGTATCACCACACTGCGTTTCTCACTCCCACACGTGGCCCGTCCATATCGCATGCGTGCGAACTCTTCCCAGTAGGACAAGAATTTGTGTTATCGACAACACTATATTGATTATTATTTAAAATTTTTATATGTTTGATTCTCATTTCTATCACTTATAGCGCTGTCATGCAAAACCAGTCTTAGTCGATATAACAGGACGTGATATAAAAATGGTAAGAACGTGTGACTAAATTTTACATTGCATATTATGTCTATCCTATACCTCGTCTGACATTAAGTGTCACTTTGATTTTGTCTGAAACTTTTTCACAATTTTCACAATTCTGGTTCATGCCACTTAATACCGTCAAATGGTGAGATACACTTGATGCCCGAGCAAAAGGATAACAAGTGATAAAACCGCATCTTTATTTCAATTGTCTTAATAAATTACACTAATTTTTGGCAGAACATTATATTTTCTATTAATACCCTTAGTTCCCAGAGAACGGTTGTCATCCAAATAATAACTTAACCCATTCCACTACCAGCATTTTTTTCAAGAGCAGTCTCTGTGGTTACAATATTTCATGAAATAAAACATATCATCTTTACAAAATACAAATAATATTTAAGAAAAAAATCTCCACGACCTTCTGTATATTATACCAAACATTATAATATTACATGAGAACACGCGTAGTGAATGTAATTTACTCTTCTTTGCATAAAATATGAAATATTGATCGTCGTAAACATGTGACGCTGATAATGAACGTGTTTGGATCGAAACGGCACGACAGCGTATGTAATGTCAACCGTCAGTCTCTCCACGGACCAACACAACATAAGGGGAAAGTCCAATGCCGATTCTTAGGAGTCGGCATGGCACTTGATGTGTTCACTAATTAAATGACATGATTAACAAGTAATAAATTTATTAATGTACAGCATAGAAGGCAAGGTACAAATAAGTAGCTTTGTCATAAAACAACTAAAAATAACATTTTCTTTCAAATTAATTCTCAGTGTTATCATTTATAACACATTTTGTCTATGACTTATACACTTTTCAAAATATATATATTGTTTCCACAACAAAGGATTTAAGTAATTTACTTAAATTCACAGTTGCATTTTAAATAATTCTGTAATTATATTGTCAAGAAATGCTAGAAATTATACAGAAATTTTGTTTCTAAAGCACCTTTTCAACATTGTGATTTACTACAAATAAAAGAATTCGTAACCGTCCTATTACTTTTTGTTTTTAGAAAAACGACGATTATTAAATTATCTTTACACAGTTTTACAGTTGTTGGTGAAGTTTTCAATCTAAACATTAACTAACACAAAAATTACTATTTTACTAACGTCTTCAAATTTGGTGCGAAATTTAAGTGATTTAAAAATTTCAATTTGTAATAAACATTTCGACATAATCGACATTTATGATTGGTTAGGACAAAGTAAGAATAATGTACACAATAAATGAATTAATTTTAAAAATCAGTAAATAGTTGGATGGATATTCTTTGTACAAGAATTTTCGTACAATTTCAGCTCTTTAAACTATTCAACAATTTCAATGTGATTTGAGCTCGAGATTTTAGCGGTCCACAGCTTTGTCCTAGACTAGCCTGTCCATATTTTAGTATCGTCGCGTGTATATCATCTTCACTATTATTCAGTCCCGTATTTAGCTGATACTTCTCAAATTCAGTAAGCACCGTATCTAAAGCTTGAATCCTTTTTACAAGTAACGTTGAAATATCTTTCCAGTTCTGTAATAAAATAATAAAAGTCAATAATGTTGATTCAATTATTAAATGAATAATATTAAAAATTATGTTAAAAGTCCAAATTATCTTACATGGTCATTGTCATTCATTGAAAGTGATTCAATTTCCTTACAGCATTTCTTTTTATTCTTTTTCTGTGAAATCCGAGGTTGTAACTGAGTTGCACACATAGTGCATATGGCACTAATAACTGCAAGAGATTCGCTACACGTAGATGCTCTCAATAGAAAATGTTTGAAAGATACTGGAACATCTTTTTCAGGAATTTCTATTGTCTGAAGGCATGGTGACGTTCGCAGCATTTCAATACATTCAAAGTCAAGATAACCTGACTGAGACAGCGATTCTGCCAGTCGAGCAATTGTCTTCAATTGTTCAGAATAATGGGCTTCACGCAACCTCTCTACTGCATCCATAGGAACCAATATTTTACATGGTTTATTTTTTTTCCCTTCGGATTCAAACTTTTCCAATATAAGAGGTATCTGTTCATTATCCAGCTCTTTTAGTTCGGCAGATAATCGATTTAGAAGTGAAGAAAAATCTGGTGTCCCACATGCTAATAAAATTTTTAATATTAAACTCCTAGCGGCAAGTAGTTTTAACATACATTCGCGTGTTTCTTCTTGCATTCTAGGATCTACTTCGTTTTCTGTCAACGGTTCCCATCCACAAACAACCTGTTCAAATAATACATTCATTTTTTGGAATCTCATAATTTTACTAGAAAAAAAAGTTAAAATCACCTTCAAATCACGATTATCTCGCAATGAATTCAAATGTATTGTATCTTCATCAGGTTGAATGTGTATATTATTTACGGTAGATAACAGCGACGTGAGGCTATCACACAAACTTAATTCCAGGAGCATTTTATCCATCGTAGTCGTAACAAAATGGATGGATTTCTCCAAACGTTCTCTCAACTCCACGAATTCTTGAATTTTTACAAAACTTCCATATTTATAAGCGAACGTTAAGTGATCTGCACTCTAATGATGCATTATATATATTAGATTAGAAAGAATTTCATATTTTTCAAAATAATTCAATATTCAATAATTAATACATACATCTTTACAATTTGCAACAAAGAATTTATTGGAGTGATCTAAAGTTGCAGAAGCCAAGAAAAGATGGCCGAATGGAGCTAGCATTGGAGCAAGTAAATAACCTAAAGAATCTAACTGAATGTGCTTAACATCTAATAACGTAAAAACATGATCCGCTGCACCCACTAATCCTGCTTCCAAATATATTCGTATAAGTAAAATTTTCATATGAAAGTTTGCAGGACTCGATGCTAAACCACGTTCTAATATTGACATGGCTCTACAAAATTATTTGTTATTTGTATTATGTAAACAATAATATCAGTGAAGATATTTTCTGTAAAAAATAATATCACCTATAGAGATAAGATGCTTCATCAGTATTGCTCCACAGTTCATGCAATAAATGTGTAGTTAAAAGGATATAAGAATCCGCAGGACAGAAGTCTGTTGGTAATCTTTCTTGAATTGGACATAATTCGTTACCCTTTTCATATAATTTACATAATCGCTCTACTAGTTGCTTTTGTTCATTTATGGATACGTTAGGGGAATGATGCAAACCACAGATACGACGGAGCTGTTCTAAATGAATATGTTTTTGCATTTGTGAGACAGTTGTTGGAAATTCCTCTGGTTTAACACCCACATCATTTTCTATCTAAAAAAAGAAAAGAATATTTTAAGTAAACATTTATAAATAGAAACAAAGCATAATATAATATCTTACTACTTACTTTTCGAAGTAATTGTAATTTGTCTACATGTGTTAATAAATTTAAGTACAATCGTAAATCTTGAACTACACAGTCTTTTTCTCCAAACTGTGAGAAATACTGATGCATTATGTTCATTGCTTCCGCAGCATTCTCAACAACTCCTTTATTTTGAGTGCGTTTGAATAATTCTAACTTAGCCAAATATGGGGCTCTGACTTTTTTCTCTGATGTGCTTATAATCTTATCAAAAAAATCTAAACATTCTTCTGGTTTTTGAAACTTCAAAGCCGCAAAAAGATAGTCTTGATAATATGCCCAATTGTCTGTACTACTCATAATGTATAAGTAGTATATAATATTAGAATATTGTATCTGAAAACTCTAATACTATATTATACTCACTTTTCACTGATAAGTTCCTTATACGCACTCGCTGCTTCAGAAAACCGTTCCAATTTTGACAAAAGTGCTGCTTTGCATTGAGGAATAGGTGATAAATGCAAAGCTAAAGGTCCAGATAAAACATTTAACATTTCATCACTTTTATCTTGAAGTTTTAATATCATTAAATATAGTTGAACTTCTTGCTCTGCTTCCATTTTTCCTTCCTCAATTATTTTCACTACCTTGTATTCATTAAATATTAAAATTTTAATTAAAGTAATCTCTTTGTGACAAGATTTACAAAGTTAATCATTATTTACAAACCATTCTCTCTGCCAAAGGTAAAATAACTGTTTTTGCTAAGATTTCATCTGCGTGAATAGCCTGCATAACGATACTCATCACAGCCCAAAAATAATAAGGATTTTTTGGTTTTAGTTTATATAATGCAAATGCTGTTTGTTGTTGCTTCTTATAATCTCCAAGACGTACGTAAGACATAAAAAGGTGTGTCAATAATTCCTCATTGTTTGGATCTGCTTTAACTGCAGCTTCGTACACTTCACTAATTTTATTTGCTGTAAACAAGTGTATCTAATGTTGTAATTTAATATTACATTTTTATCAATTTCATATCCTTAAATTTAATTAAGCTTACGTTGATGTATCTCTCTGTAACAAATACTCATAACCTGTAGAGTAGAATCATCACAGGGTACTTTTGAGCGTACTTTATCCATGATAACTTGACACTCATCTTCTTTGCCAAGTCGCAATAAAGCTAAAGCTTTGAGCATTTGAACACACTGATTGTTTGGGTGTTTCTTAAGCACCTTATGTATCTCTTGTAAAGCTTTTTTATTGTTTCCATTATCCAGCCAATCTAAAATACATAATGTAATGATGTTACATAACCTCATCACCGGTTACAAATATCCAAGGTAAATACTTGTGAAACTTGAAAGATTAAAACATTTTATCAATATTTAAAATATAAATAATACACTTGCCGTATATTCGACGTAATCGACGTTCGTCAACAATACTTTCCACATGGACCTTAGACGCCATGATACTTTTTATGGTAATTTTAAATCAACAAACCGAAAGAGCAAACATTCCTTCGTCAAGTGCATAATGATATCATAAGGCAGATTCACATTGACATTTTATATATATATATATAGTACATATCAGCGGTGTCGAACTGCTTCCCCTTAAGCTAGTGACTCTCGATCAACGTTCATGCGCTACCTCACTTTAGGAGCTGCCCGAGACTGTGTACGTGAGCATCTTTATATGTAATACAACAGTAAGTAGGTAAGTAGGTACGGAGAGGGTAACTCTCTGTGAGGGGAAAAACTCTATAGAGAGCTAGCCAGAGTCCGACACCACTGAATTAAATGAATGATTTTAGAATTAAATTTAATTGAATAGTACATTTAACGGTCATTAATACTCAGTACTTGAAATTTTATAAATTATAAAGAATAACTAATTTATATCTCTCAAATATTGAAGGAATATGTTTTAACGTAATAACGAAAATTGATATTTATTTTATTAGACAGTTGCAAATAATAATTAATGACAAGTTTATAATGCACTATTAAAATTCTGTTGTTTATTGTTTAGATAACACTCGGATATACATTTAATTTTTGGTTTTCTCAAAACTCACCAACATTAAATACTTTAATAAGAGTTTCCTCTCTATAACGGAACTAAGTTTCACATGTTTTATGATTATAAATTCGCGCGGATATTCTGTTTGATTTTGCCTCACGCTTTATTATATTCTTCATTTCTTGTGTCAGAAATACGTAACATTTTGTTAGTGCTTTTAATTAAAGGTCGCTTAAAATAATCATGTGGTCATCAAATTTAGATACTAGTATAAATTCTGATGGCGGTTTTTTAAATGATAGTCGTAAAGGTGGACAGGATGATGTGAAATCGCGAAGGATACAAACTATTGTTCCTGTCATGATAAGACAATTACTTTCTTTTTCTTCTACTCAAGAAATAAAGTTTGGGGATATTCCTGCAAATATGTTTACGATTGTTGGAATAGTACGAAACGTTGAAGAAACTGCAACAAAAATATCCTATGACGTTGAAGACGAAACAGGTTCATTTAATTTTGCAATCATTTTCGTAATTTTTATATCCCTCTAATTTTTAATTTATTAATATTATATGTCTATTTTAATATGTACAGGTACAATTACGGTGTTGAAGTGGTTAGAAGCAGATAAAAAAACATCAGATTTTATGATGCAGATGAATACTTATGTTCGTGTTATTGGTTTACTCAGAGAAAATAATGAAAAGCGGCATCTTTTTATTTTAAGAATACATCCATTGCAAGATCTGAATGAGTTAACAAATCATCTACTTGAGGTTACTTATGTCACATTAAAAGCTAAAGCAATGGCTGAAAAGAGCAAAGAAACTTTTGATAATGGTAGTACAATAAACAACATGCCAAGTGAGGATTCACCTTATTATGGAATGTCGGCAGATCAGACTTTAGTTTATAAAATTATTCATGCACGAAATGACACTGAATCTGGTATTGAAAGATCTGAGATTAAATCACAAGTACCGAAAAGAATTTTGTCAGATATGGACAATATATTAGATTTCTTAGTTTCCGAAGGTCACATATATACAACAAGTACAGATGACCACTTCAAAACAACTTAAACATATGTATTAAAATTGGATGTTTATTTTTAATAAAAATGTATGAAGTTTAATTTGTAGATGTATGTAATTAAGAAATTGTATTGTATGCTTAAGAAAACAGTGTAAAATTTCATGAGATGTTATAACTTATTTTTTCTTTTTATAACAGCTATGAAAATTTATACACTTTAATTTGAAAATATATATACTGTTAAATAAAATGGTCGCGCCATATCTTTATGAATATTTTAACAGTAAGTTAAAAAACAATGAATATTGTAAGGTTTGAATATACATTATTATTTTCTATAGAACATCAAATTGCGTTTTATATATTTATTTTAGAAAATTTGTATTTCTATGACACTTAATCCCATATAATTTAATTTCTTTTAAAATCAACTAATGAGTAATATGATATTAGAATATAATGAATAAGTTTTTGTTTTTTAAAATACCTTATTTACGTTGTAACGAAGAACTTAACCTGAACAACCTAACCTTATCTTGTTTAAATTTGTCAGGTTTGACATCAAATAACACATGGTGAAATCAAAACATAAGAGGAACTTACGAGTGTATTTTATTTGATTGTATAATAATAAAGATTAAACATGAGATACGCACAGCTTGTAATGGGACCAGCTGGTAGTGGAAAGGTATTCTTTCTTTTTATATTTAAATATATAATTTAAGATTGCTTACATGTATATAAAAACTATAAAAACAGATATAAAATACAAAATTTATGAATTCAGAAATTAACTTAGGAATTAATGATAACGTTGTAATGACATACGTTTACTAATTAAAAACAATGATATATTTTTAATATTTTTTTAACAGTCTACATACTGTTCTGCTATGCAACAACATGCCGCCAATGAAAGAAAAGTGATTGAAATAGTGAATTTAGATCCTGCAGCAGAATACTTTGATTATGAACCTTTAGTTGATATAAGGGAATTAATTCAGTTAGATGATGCCATGGAAGATGATGAATTACGATTTGGACCCAATGGTGGTCTTGTATTCTGTATGGAGTAAGTTTATGAAATAACATTCACAGATCATATATATCATCAAGTTTATGTTTATAGGTATTTATTAGAGAATTCATCATGGTTAGAGGAAAAATTAGGTGATGTGGACGATGATTACATTATTTTTGATTGTCCAGGTCAAATAGAATTATACACGCATATGACGGTTATTCGTCAGTTAATAACTGTGTTACAGAATCTCAATTTTCGTATATGTGGAATCTTTTTAGTGGACAGTCAATTTATGGTTGACGGAGCAAAATTTTTATCTGGTACAATGGCTGCTCTGAGTGTAATGATCAATTTAGAATTGCCACATATTAATATTCTTAGCAAAATGGATTTATTATCTAAAAATGTAAGGAAGCAATTAGATAAATATTTAGAACCTGATCCATACAGTTTATTAACAGACATGGAAAAAGATTCATGGAATGAAAGGTATAGAAACCTTACAGAAGCTATAGGAAGACTTATAGAAGATTATAGCCTTGTGCGTTTTTATCCATTAAATATAAAAGATGAAGAAAGTATGGCAGACATTAAATTAACTATTGATAATATCATTCAGTACGGGGAAGATGCTGATGTTAAAATTAGAGATTTTGATGAACCTACAGAGGATGATGATAACGAATAAATGTGTAAAGTTATTCTGTTTAATAAATTATTTTTATAAGATACGTTTTGTAATTAATTTATTGGTGTTGTTAAGGGTGTAAGTAGAATAATATTAAACAAATTTGTTTTATTAATTTAATTATTTTTAGCTTAAGAAAATATCTGTACATGAAAATGATGAAATATTTACAATGCTAAATTTCATTGTTCTAAATGTGCATTTATCGTATTAAATACAAATAATAGACATCCAAAAGCTAACGTTGACCCATGAGCAACGATAGCACTTCCTTCCCAACCTTCTTCTAAGTGATCTGTACTCTTTGTTTCATATCTTGTTAAGTTACATTTACATAATATTCTTTTTTTTTCTGTTTGTTCTTGAGAAAGTAACACTTTTTCTTTTATTATAGCTTTCACGGCTTCTGTTGTCTTTTCTTCTTTCGTTATTAATTCTATTTTCTCATCAGTTTCTTCTTTTGCTTGCTCTTTAGCTACATCGGTATAATTACAAGAATAAAGTACGTTATCAACTACAGTTCCATATTCACTGTAGTTTAATAGTTCATAACGTTTTGTACTCTGCAAGTAAAAACGTGCAAATGATTACAATTATGTCCACAGATTTGAAATTTTTCAAAAGATGTGAAATTTGAACATTTTTAAATATTATTACCTCGTCAAAGAAAATAATTGCATGCTTTGAAGATGTAAAGCTGCAATTACCATAGTTGGATAAAACTAAATCACAATTAGGGCCACTTCCTATAGTTAATGTTTTATGAATCATAAAAATTGGTGGTTTAGGTTTATAACTTAGAGAAAATAGAGCAGCTCTTGCCATTGTATGACAACCGACTGTGTGATAATTTTCTCCATCTGAATCTAATATTTGTTCTAATCGTTGCAATGCTAACGCTTCCAATACTGGTCTTTCAAGTAATTGTACACCTTCCTTTATATCGTAACCAAAGTGTTCTGCACAATACTCAGCACTACTATCATCTTTACAACTATTTTTATTTAGTTTTTCTTCTTCCAATCCTTCTCTACCATTTGTTTCGTTGATTGCATCTTCTTTACTGTTTTCTTCTTTTATTTCACTATTCTGTTCAACCTCTTTTTCTACTTCCATCTGCTCTTCTGATTTCTTTATTTCTGTGTGTTCTACTTTAAGAGTTTTGCAATCATTATTTTCTGTATCTTGCTTTTTAGTACTCTTAGACGCTGATCGTATGACAGTATCATGATAAAATCGTATAGGATCTAACTCCGGTGGATGCTCGTAATGGAATTTTACAGAACAGGGAACTTTTACTCTTGTTCGACCTTCTAGCCTCACTTTTGTACGAAAAAGTGGATTTGTTGTACGTGCTTTACGCAAAAAATCTAATTTTACTGCATGTTGATCTATACGTTGATTAGCATACTTATCCCAAAGTTTAATACGCTCTGTTACCCTGCACGATGTCAATAAATTTTGGTCTATAAAATGATTTGGATGATTAGGACACATCCATCTACCAATAGGAAAAGCGGTGAGTGGAGGATCCAAACAATCTTGATGAAAATACAGTGGACAGTAATCACATGCGATTAATGGTGCTTTCCTGCAACTGCGTCCACATTCAAAACACAAACGTGCTGGTAAAGGTACCATTAAATTACTGTCTAAACAGTGATTTCTTCCTGCTAATGGAAAAAGTATTGTTACTTTCACAAATACACTTATACAATTTTCTTTAGGAAAAAGCAAAGAATACATACTATTAGTATTTCCACTTTGTTGTTTTCCTCTTCTACCCGACACATAATCTACTTTATTACTACCAGGGAACATTATCGGTAACTGTAATTCTTTAGGCAATTCAAACTCTCTAGGATTAACTAGAGACGCTGCTAAAGCTAGTACCTCCAAGGCAGATTTCTTTTTATTCTTTTCATTTCCTTTGCTATCTAAAAGGTTTCTTTTTGATGCACACCGACAAGCATAACATAACCACTCTCCATTGGGAATGTCTGCTGGATCAACTGCTGGATAACTATAAATAATTGTTTCTTCTATATTTTCTTATCACCACATAAGTGTAATAAACAAAAGATATAGAAAAGATTGCATAAAAAAATTATCATAAATAATGAATAATTTTTCAATTCTATTACCAAACTTACAGGAATATTTCGCGCTTCAGAACTAAGAAAAAAATCCTAATGTAAATGGATACACATACCTTTAATTTTGAAGACACAGCCAGTTTAAGTTATAGTACAAATTATACTAGGCAATTCTGAAGCAGACATAAGTACTTTTTAAATTTGTGGTATTTGTTTTATAATTTTTTAAAAAGAATGGTGAATATATTCTTGAGGAAATAATGTATACACATTTCTTTTTATGATTTTCTTAATGAAAATATATATTTTGATCACACATTGTATGTGGAAGTTTTTCTTAATTTTCAACTTCATATGATAAAACAGTCTTCGTTTACTCATTTTCTGTGATGTAAGCAGATGGAAAATCAAGAACTTTTATACTACAAGTAGAATGTTATGTAATCAATAAAATTGCAAACAATTCTGACTACTATACAGAGAATTGCAACATTGAAAGGTGTATTTTAGATAGCTTGAATAGTTCTCCATAGGAATAATTTTTATCTATAATACAGCAGTACTCATAAGAGATAGATTTATTTAATTTTCATGGCAATTATATTTAAGTCGATCAAAATTCAGATACAATTATTAATGCAAAATAAAATTGCTGTTGAAACTTTTTACTAATATTTGAACAGGCATTATCCATTATATATCTTACGTTCCTGTTAACAAGTTAGACAATACATTTTTCTTAGTGGAAACACAAGCAAAAGGAAAGCCAAAAATTGAGAAACTAATTAATCCAACAATATAGGAACTGATATAATGTTAAACAAATAAAAGAAAATGCAAAATTTTAAATCAAATTTTAAAACCAGTCATTTGACCAGTCGTAAAACGTTTAGTGTTAAAAGAAATTTCCTTAAGTAGAAGGGTAAATATGTAACATACATGCAAATATCTTAAAAATGTTTTCATAAGAATTTTATGCTTTCATACGATTAACTTACAAATTACCCAGGAGTTAAACACATGAAACACTTTGTGCTATAACGTATCGATATTTGCGTGTATGGCTTTTATTGTAGATCACTTTGAATAAACACTATCTAATCATGCACTAACTTAAACTGATTGAATTTTAAAAGAAAAGGGTACTTTGCCTCATGTTTATTAAGACTCTTGTCTTAGTTCTGAAGCATGAAATGCTCCAAAAAATTTCCGCTATAAATTTTGAATTATTTCACACATTAAAAACTTAGCTGTATTACAAACTAACATTAATCATGGATAATTATAAATAAATTTTGCTACAATATCATGCTAATTAAATGAAATGTTTTTTTCTTAATTTAATTCATTTTTTATTCAATTATAAAACTATTATTACAATTCTTCTTCAATCATAGGAGAAGCCTAAACATGTATAGTTTATATGTTGAAGGAAATTAAAGAATTTACATAAATCAATATGTAATGTGCTACATGTTTGGAAATGAACAATATAATTTACTAATTCGTAATTACATAAAATTATAACTTTGTAAATTTCTCACTTTAATTTCAATAAAATGAAATAATCGTGATCAAAAAAATGAATAATAAATTCCCTTTCTTACAAAAATACATTAATTTTTATATGATTATATTAACCTAACTGTTTTACCGCGAAGTAGCAAAAATTAAAAATCAGTAACATTTTTTAAATGAAAAATGTTCTTAAATATTTTCTAATTGTGGAATAATAAATGTATAATGATTATTCAACAATACGATGTACGATATTATTACTAAGTCAACTGTTTTGTTATTCTAAAGACCCTTGAACTCACTGGCATTGTAAATGATATGATGCAGGGCATTTATCACAGCATATAAGTTCTCCTCCATCTCTACAAGCATCGCAGATATCGCGATTATGACCTCGTCCACGTCTTTTAAAATATGGGTGTTTCTTTTCTTCCTTATCCTTTTTATTTTTTGCTGCTTTTGAATCCTCTGATACAGGTGGTGCTATAAGCGCTTGAATTTGCTAAAAATACGAATGTCGAAAAGAAATAAATTTTTTACAGTTATAATTTTATACAATCAAAATATTCTTGTCTTCATTATTATTCGAATTTTTTATTACTTACTGGCATTAGACCTCCTATCATTGGAAAACCATATTCTACAGTCCCCATTGTGATATAAGTCTTTAACTCGTGAATGCCTGAAATTGTTTTTATTAATTTTTCTCTTACAACCACATAATATTTGTTTGATTAGGAACAACAGATCTACCCCCACTTTCTATTTTTCATATCTAAGTTGGTTATGTTTAAAACATTGATGTAGAAGATACTAGATACGTGGCCCTTGTTTGAGATGTTGCAAACAAACGTCGAAACCATTTCTCATATAATGCCGAATTTATGTAAATACGTAGTAAATAAGTACTACTTAAGTACTTAAGTACATAAGAACTTATATTTGAATACAAGTATAAATATTTAATTTATGTACCTCTTATGTTTAATCACAGACGAGGTATAGGGTAGACATAACATGTAATGTAAAATTTTGTTCTACGCTCTGGGGGGTTACAGGACCCCCATATCATTTTCGTGTCACGTCCTGTCATATCGACTAAGACTGGTTTTGTATGGCAACGCTATAAGCGATAGTTAATCAGTTTTTAACATTTTGCTTGATACAGTTTTCCTACTGACGGTTTTCTAAGTGTAGAGGGCAGAGCAAAACCTCTGATGTTTTACACAGTCGGTAATTCAGAACGTGTGACATCGAATCCCTTAAGCTTACAATGTCTATCTTATACCTTGTCTGTGGTATAATGGCACGTTTAATCTATTCTTATATCTACAAGGAATATTCTTTCTTGAAACATATTTCTCAAATGATCATACAATTATATATTAATACTGACTGACGGTACAATACAGAATTTAATTTGCCTAATAAATTTGTAAGAAAAGGTTGTTTAAGAAGTGGTTAAAAATATTTTGAAATTCCCAGCATTTATTATTTAGTATTGACACGTATAAGTAGAGGGCACTACCGTCGTATCAACAAAATAATAGTGGATTTATATGGACTGTGAAAAACAAAGAATTTCATATTTAATTTAAAGAAACTTAGTACTTAGGTTACTTGCGTGTACTGACGCTTTTTATTTTTGAAATAAAGTAATATATGTATATATATATATATATATAAATATATTACATCGTCACAATATATAAAACAGTTACAATCTTAAAATGTTATTTTTAAGAAGGCTCACAGGTAACATACTTGTTAAAAGGCAGGTGCATGGAAATGCAGAGATAATTGCAAATTGTAAAGAAGTTAGGAATCGTAATCCAAGAAATTTAGAACGCTTAAGGATTGCAAGGAAACCTATTGGTTATGCTCTTGATAAACAAGGATTTTCCTATTGGCACAAGTAATATAAATGTGTATAATTATTTAGTATAACCTTAAGCAAGATTTTGTTTATATATTCTCAAATCATATTTTATAAGTGTTTATAATTTAATATCTGACATATTTACAACACGTATTTGTAATATAAAATGTTTGTAATTAAAATTTGTGTAGGTTAGTTATATCTTCTACTCAGAGATATGTTACCGGAGAAATACATCATTTTGAAAATGGCCCTGTTATTAGAGTTTCAACTAAAGAATGGGGATTAAAAAAGCAATTATATAGGTTTGTATACATTCTGAATATGTTTGTTAAATGTAATATTTAAAGTATAATTATCTTTTTATAGTTAATAAGAATTTTATTCAATTAAAACATAAAATACAGTTCTGAGGACAACACAGAAAAATATAAATAAAAATTTCTGTTATTTTTAGTTTGAATGATAGCTCAGCACATATAAACGTAGGTCGTGTACTTGCACAACGTTGCCTGGAATGTGGAATATGTGAAGTTTTCTTTGATGAAGAAAATGCAGTTAAATCAAAAGACTTGTTACTAGTGGAAGAATTAAAGAAAGCTGGAATAAGTTTATCAGAACCATACAGATATAGACACTTTACTGGTGCCGCTAAATTTCGTGATGAGAAACCTTGGGAATCATATGAATAATTGTTTCTTTTGTATATAGATGTCAATAAAGAATGTGTTAACTGTAAAAATAGATATTAGTTATGAAAATTTTATATTATTTTTAATTACAGTGGAAAGTTTATGTATTACGTCATGTAATATTAAATGTCAGATTTTGTGGGAAAAAAAGGAAACCTTATTTGATGTTCTAAACGACGTTTATTCAATCAAAATTTGCTCTATTTGATTTGATACATTTCTGCTAATATGTTTTTAATTAATATATTCCTTCTTTGAAAAATTCTAAATGTTTAAAATTAATAAATTCTAATGACACTGTTATAAATTACTGTTTTGAGTTTACCATGCGATTCATTTTGCAAAGAAACATTAAAATGAAGTTTTGCAAATCAGTACTGCACTGTTCTTTTTGTCCCCAAATGCTTCGTTTATATTTTCAGCGGTTATTACTGCATTATTTGCAAGTTTGAATTCATATAAAAAAATTACAGGAATGTTGATGGTATCCATGTTTTCAAAAAATGATGCAAAAAATAATTATGCACAATTAGGAGAAACTTTTTTGCAAAGAGTTACTCTGATTATCAACAGTGAAACTATTTAAGAGGTTATATAAAAACCAAAGGAGTAACAACAACAAGAGTACAACCATTTATGTGTAAAAAAGATCCGACATTTCGAATTACACGACCTAATACATTACGCATGTATTATTTATGTACATATGAAAGATACAATTATATTGAGTACACAAAGTTTTATATGAATCTTCTGTTATGAATATGTAAATTTAATTCTAAAATATTTCAAAATAAAAGTTTGAAAAAAAAGAAACTTTTTTTAATTTTTATGCCATTTGTTTTTTTTATTTGATCCTTTTTAATTTGAAATACTTAAATTTGTACATCATACATTATACAAGGATGATAATAAATAATTCTATTAATATTAAATAAACATCTAATTTATACTAAATATAGTAAAGTTATAATGTCTGAAAATGCTAAATATATCTGTGCAGAACTTATTACTACAGCAATAGTTACTCAAATATAATACTAATATTATTAGGCTATTTTATCTTATATCGGTAAAAGTGGTTTTTGATAAACATAATACTGCACTTGTAATTTTATTATAATTTTAACTAATAATGATTAGAAAGTTCAAAAAAGTTAGAAAATTAATTACTTGACGTTTTTAAATGTGTGAAATCACAGATTGTCAGTCATTTGTTAGTACTGTTTCAATGAGACACAATAAATATATCAATAATTACACAACTAATTGAGCATAATATAAATTTGTTTACATATTATATAGGCCGCTCAACACAATGATTAATACAAATTTAATATAATATAAATTTATTAATAAACATGTGTGTTCTAAATGTGCAATTATTTTTCATAAACATATATATTAATATATATATTTTTCATAAACATATATATTAATATATATATATATTAATGATTGGAAGTATTGATATATACAGTATTTAAGTTCTATTTGGTGAGAACCAGCAAAAATAAATAGAAACTGCTTCTACACCACCTCTTTGTAGATTCAATTTTATTACAATAGTATGAAAATTCTAATGATAAAATAAACTTACAGTCATGTGCAGTAAAAATCATACAGAACATATGATGTGAAATACTGAGTAAATATTTTTATAAAAGAAGATAGCGTGACATAAACTTATGATTGATTATCCTAATACTATAAAGATATATAAAGATACTGCAAGTATCTGCAAGATGTTTTATTAATTGTTTCTATTTCATTTGAATGAGTTTGTTTTTAATTATTAATAGACATATTACTATGCTTAAAAAGTAAAAAATATTATATTTTGATTGCATTATTGCAGTTCATGTGGTTTTTTTATTAATATTTTTTAAAATATAAAAAAGTTTTCAGTTTTATTCATTGAATGTATGCTATTATAACTGAAGTATATTATAAATATCAGTCGCTATAATTAGAATTATATTGTCACTTATTTTTTCGTAAAATACAATACAATTTGATTTTTGCATGAATACTAACTTAAAGATTATATTAAACCAGTATATCTTCTAATTTACCCTGTATAATTTTCACTGTGAATGACTGTATATTAAAGCTGGAAATGGATATTTTGAACATGTCATTGAAGTAAAATTAATTACTTAATGATACTTAAAGAAACTTAAAGATAATAGTAAGTAATATCTGATGCACATATTTATACGTGTGTTTTTTATGTTTGTAATTTGAATTTACTGCTTTAATATTTCCCACATATTAAATGAAAATAAATTTACATAAATACTGGAACTGTTTGATTTTATTTCATATCACAAGTTTTTTTGTATTTTCATAATTTCTTATGTAAATAAAGATATTAAAACTAATTTCATGTCAAACATCCAATGATCAGTTATTATCAGTAAACAATTATTAACATTACAAATATTACTAAATAAGTATTACTACATATAAAAGTAATTTATATTTAAGACAGTTTGAACTATTCCTTTAAAAGGATGAATTTAGTAAAGAAAAGTATAAAAATGCTGATTAACGTGAAAATGATGTCAAATATACAAACATGCATACTAATGTGATAATTATGAAGATTTTTATTATTTTAGTCACAAAATAGTTTGTGCATGATGCGAAAATATTCAATATATCAAATTTTTCCTTAAATATGAAAGAAATTGAATGTCACTGATGGAATGAAGATTTTAAAATATTGATATGAATGACTTTTTTACTTGCAAGTGTGAATGTCTATACTTTTAACACAAGTTTTACAGTCTACAAAACAACACCAGTGGAATTTGCATTCGCATCTTTCTCTGAGAGTTGACTTCTGTGTATTGTAACCCCTGCCACAACAAAGGAGGTTGCAGCCGTCCATACCAGATGATGTTCTGTTGCAAATTCTGCCATGTGTACCTAGTAAATATAATTTCTAGATTTAAAAAAAGGTCTACATAGTTCATAACCAAAACAAGTAAATAAATAAAAGTAATAAATAGTAGGAAAAATATAATTTTGTACTCTCCTTTCGTATTTCACATAAATACATATTACCCATGAAATTAGTTACCTAATGATCCATACGTTTCATTAGGAAGACAATAGTTCGGCGAATCGTCTAAGTAAACCAGATCACTTGCCGTAGGCAATGAAAAACGTGGATCTCGCATCGACAAACGACCCCGTCTATTTACTCTGACTTCCGTTGCTCCATCATATTTATCTAAAAGGAAATCACCTGTAAACATTAAATATCATCGATGAATTAATAATCCAAGTATTCATACGTGCATGTATTTATAAGACAGTTGAAGTTGATGGTTTACACACATCTAAACGGATAAAAAAAAGTTAATTTTTTTTTTAATATACAGGGTGTGTAAAAAAAGGGGTCCAATACTTGAAGGATATATAAAAAAAATATTCTAATCAATATGGATCTTAAAAGCAATTGTTTCGATAAAAAATCAACCTGTTAATACCCTGTATGTTTAAAACCTTAACTAATAATATCATGAATAGACCGAATACACATTTAATTCTGGTTTAATTCTTCGAATTACGTGCAAAATATAATTGTTAAAAAGCAAATAATTGTAGGAGAAAGACATACCAATTTCTCGGAACGATGCAAGTTGTTGCCAACAAGTAATCAAGCTACAGCTTCCCGAAACTCCGTGGCACTTGCATGTTACTTTAGACTTTTTAATAACAGCCTGCGAAAAACATATCATTCTTATGAATTCGCAATCAATATTTCATCATTAAATGATATCAACATGTTCCTTCTAATTTTACATTTTAAATAAGTCTGTTTGATGAAATTCAGAAAGTTAATTTTACCCTACGACCAGCTTCGTTATTATGAAGATTCATCAGGCTCCTGCCTTGTTCTCTGCTGCCTCTTTTAAAGCTGCGCTCGCGTTCCCTTACATCTACGAATGCCTGTGTAAACCTAAAATAATTAAGAATCTGTCGTTTCCCATGTAACTTTAACATAAGGATATTTGATACTAGTTTCAACAACATTTATTAAGTACTCGTTCGGGCTGGTTATAAACGTTTAACGATTTTTGGTTTTCAACTATTTCTCACTTTTATGAAAGACATAATGTGGCATTAACAAACTTCTTGGTAAATAGAAATACAGAAAACATGATAATCAACTTGGTTTTCTAAATAAAACAGTTCTGAACCGCGTAACACGCTTGTACCTTTAAGCAATTTTTCATTTACAAACAAATGAAACAAATAATTCAAATGTTATGTCTTATATTTGAAATGATGACGCGCTGACAGAAATCTTGTCGACTAAAGGATTGATATAAGAAAGAGTACGTAACGATTAAACCATTTTAATCAATGTTCTACTCTATACATAACTGCGATTACGATATTTATAATTCCTCCCTGTAAATTATAAAGAGCTGTTTATACATTAAAAGCCTATTCAATGTTTCAAAAATAAAAATAAATGAAGTGAATTCCATTTCTATAGAATGATTTATCTTTGAAACCTTAAGATGACATTATCGGACAGACCTTTCCGGTAAACCTAAATGACTACTGCGCGAATGGGTTGAAAAGTTCTTTATAAACTCAGTACTTACTTGTAACCGTACTCAAGATTGTCCCCGCATCCGCCCCAAATCCAATCGTGATGCAAATCTCTCGGTCTGTTACTCCTGGAGCAACCGCACGAGGATAATTGGCCGTCTCTGCAGGATCGGCTGATCGAGTAGACTACTCCTGCAGCTGTGATTGCATGAACGAACGCGGTTTCCCTACTGGCTACGAACAGAGAAGTATAATTCGTACATTAATTATAAAGGGCAATCCGGTTATAATTGTTACCTCAAGGAATCAATTTATATATAGGTACATTCAGAAATCTCGACAAAGTGTACACCGTTATATGCTTACCTATTCTGAGTACCGGCCCGAACACAGTCTCGTCACGAACAGTGGAGCAATTCCACCTTCGGTCACGAAATTGGTGCTGGCACTCATTAATTCCGAATTTCGCCCCTTTAGACACGCTGGGCATGTGATCCACGGACAGCTGACACAGTTTCTCTTGGCCCTGCGACAGACCTTTCAGCCCGTAACAGATAGTGGACGCTGCTATGTCATACGTCTCTATCATTTGGGCAGACTCGAGTTGCGGGAAGTGTTGCAAGCCGACGTTTCTGATAACACCGAATTATATTACGTATGATAGCAACATGAGATTCTTTCGAATAATTCTTGTATAACAGAAATTTAATAATATTAACTATTATTATAGATTTAGGGCACATTGCTTAATACTAGATCTACCGAGCAGTCACATTGACTTTCTTTTATTCTTTTGGAGATATTGTAAGAGTGTATGTATTAAGATTTTCATTGACTTATATTTTAGTTCATACATTACCAAATCACGTGATTTAGCCATTTTCCTGAGAAACGCTTGTATCTTCTCAATAATTGTAAAAGAAGAAATCAAGAATAGGTCATCTTGAACTGTCTGGTAGTTTTAGTATTAACACCAGAACTATCGCACCTATTAAAATGACGAGTTTCAATATTTTTATTTCACAATTATTGATATCTTAAAGGTGTTAAATATATCAGAAATGGTTTTACAATTTTTATAAGAATAACATATTAATCATATTAAACACTCGGTAGTTCTAGCGTTAAGGTTCTTAGGACAATCGAGTTCGCGACGAGGACAGTTGTCACTATATTAACGTCAAAGCTAAAGCTTAGGAGTCAATTTATTACAATACATTTTTTACTGATTTTAAAACTTGCGTTGATCATCGGAGTTCTAAAAGCTAAATTATTACTACTACATAATTTTGACATATATCGGATAACTGAAATTGGTTCACAACTTATGTCGTTTAACACGTTTGCTGCCACTGTGGTCACCGATGACCGGAGCTTCCAAAATGACTTGAAAACAATTATAATTTGTCAGACATCTGACGTCAAATGAAAATGTTCAATACCGTGAATAACTAAATAATAATGTAACGTAAGAATCACGATATCAAATAATAAGTAACCGTTCCTCGAATTCACAGCTGACCGAATGCGTGCGACTCAATCTTAATGATCTCTTCATCGAACAACCAGTACAACCCTCCTGTTCCAGGAAGCAGGGCGTAAACGCAATCCGATTTCTAGAAATTCGTCACGCCGATTACGCGGGATTCGAAAAGGGAAACCGGTGGGCGATCAACGCAACGGTCCTCCGCGCCAATTTTTAATGGCACGTTTGGGCGTCGACCGAACCGGATGATGGAACGGTCCCGTCACAGACAGAAAAGTTAGGGGTCTCGAACTAGGGTAGCGATCTCAGATTCGAAACGGTTGCTCGTAAACGTTTCAGTTACGATACGGGCACACTCGAATGATCTAATATCGCCAATCAGACATACGAACCGAGTCCTAACGACTTTCGGTCGATGGAACTCGTGTCCACGACGCGTGGGAAACAATGAGAAAGAAGGTCTGGTTCTATGGTTTTGATATATTTTCATTTCGGATATGAAATATCATGTATATATGCAGTTACCTACGTTCTTTAGCTCTACAATGATGAGTGAGATCCATGATGAAGATTAAGTTGACTAATTCAGATTAAATTAACAAAAATCGATGTCTCTCGTTGCATGTGGATTGAAACAAAAGATTATTCTACTGTTTTCGATATTTCATCTTCAAAGTTAATATGTATTTACAATCAGGGCCACCCCGAGAGTGCGAGGAGCATACCGCACCCGTACGGCAAAAAATAAATATCTGATAAGATTTATTTTATTCGCCTAATATCTAGCTTGAATTATGCAATGCAGTAAAATTATTAATAGTGTGAAAAGTCAGACAGAGTACTGCCTTACAAGCCAATCAAAGTTAGCACCCAGGTAGCAAACATCTTTGGCATGCAATACCTTTTGCTTATAATGAACGAAATGTTTTTTGACATTTCTATGCGAATTACTGATGGCAAAGTCCTGTGGGATGTGTTATTTTCTTATTAACACGTCGATTTCCAAATAAACATTTATCGAAACAGTTTCCTTAATAAACTAGAAACCGGTTTGTTTGATACGTCACCAAGAAAATTGATGTTTAAGTTTATGTAAAAATCGATGTCATCCGAATTGGGGTGACGTAGCAATCAAAGTGTTAAGAAGCTGGTATCTCACGATGCTGTTGGACACGTGGGTCTGAACTGACCCGGACATTGTTCAGCGAGGGTTAAACGGTTACATTTTCAATTTTTTTCTCATCATAACTAAAATGTCCCATGGTATATAAGATTGCACTAGGGAGCGCATAATAGAGAGCATTAATATTCCGGAACACGTTTCGACTGTGATATATCATCGGCTTTGCACTCCCCTAAAACAATGACGCTGGGAATCACGGGAAGGGAACGATAATATTTCGAAGGATCCTGCCCACGCGAATTCGTGGGACACTGTGGACTGTACCGTCCCAAAAAGTAATGTCTCGTGTCTCTTAAAAGATTGTAGCAACAATCGTACGACTTCACGTACCGGGTGTTCAACATTGACTTTTCTTCACAATATCGAACAAAAAACTTAAGTTTCTATAAAAGAATATGATTATTAGATTTATTTTACCAACTTCGAACGACAGAGTAAAAAAAACTCGGAACATGAAAGTGTTAAAGTTTAGAAAAGTAATGATAATTTAATAATGTTAAATTGAGAATGTGTTTAAATTTCGATTTTTGTACCTAGTTCTAGAAACGAAAAATTAAGTGAAGATTTATATATTTCATTAAGATTGTAAGGTGTAATCGATACTACTACTACTACTAGTACTACTATTACTACTAATAATAATAATAAAAAGATGTAATTTTTCGTTCACTTACAGTGTACGTGGAATTTATTAATTAAATCATTATCCTTATCCTTATCATTAATTATCGTTATCCTTAATAAATTCTTACGAAAGGCTGTTGGACAGATGTGACCCGAAAAAGAAATAATAAAAAGTAAAATTATCTTACAATCAATCATTTTGTCTGAAAAGACAATGGGCATATCTGCGTTAATATGTCTCTCCTTCTTCAATATAATTTGAAACGTATCGCTGAACTGTGGATCGTAGCAAGTCAACGATATTCATCAATTTGGTGTATACAGGGTGTTCTGAAACTTGTGGTATATTCGGGAAGGGTGATTTTATATAATATTGAGAAATCGACGCAATACGATAAAATCTGTTCGCTCATCAAATGTGTTAACATTTTGACTGCCACGAAAAACTTCAGCGTTTTATGTATCACTTATTCCTTTGTAGTAAAAATAAGAAGGAACAATTACCAACTATTTGGTACGCAGTTATTAGGTTACACTATGATCAACTTATTCACGCTATTAAACATTTTCATTCAACTCCAGTTAACTTACGAATTATTGTTGTTTTCAAGTAATTTGGAAGCTCCGGTCATCGGTGACCACCGTGGCAGTCAACGTGTTAATGCTCTTGAAGCAAATGCACTTAGATAATTTTTATTCAAATATACACAGTAGAACGAGATTGTTTCGTTTGTCTCATTTTTTAAATAATCGAAATTTAAACACGTTCTGTTAGTAATTATAATCAAACAGAAACGAACTCAATAAATTTTCAAATTGGACCTTTCTTAAATCAACATATCAAGCGTAAAAAAATTATTGTACATTTTTTACTAATTTCCTGGTATAAAAGAATATGAAGTAATAAAACTAATCTGTTCTTGAAGTTTACAAGACACCCTGTATAGTGAACAATGTGAGATGCAACTTTTTACTTAATATATTCGCCTTGAATGCAACGCGCGGACAGAAAGAATATCGTGCAACGATTTGAGCGGGAGTTTTTCGAAAATGATACAGTTGTTGGAACTTTAGATGACAACTTCGTGATAAGCTGCGCATATTTCGTTGGGTACGTGACTGTCGCGCGCCTGAATGACCTACGTGATGCACAGCTCGGTCGGTTGGGTTGCCGCTCTTTTGGGCGGATTTTGAACACTAATTGTAAAATCATCGAACAGTCGATTTACTTTTTCAAATTTTTGTATGGAGACTTTAAGAGTGCAGCTGTTGAGATTTCAATTGACTTCTGATTCAATTTGCGTATTATCAAATCAATTTCTTTAGTGATTTCTCAGAGAAGCATTTGTTATCCTGTTAGTAATTGGGAAAGAAGAATTTAGGAATGGGCCAATTTGACTCATTTGGTAGTTGTAGTGTTTTAAGTATTTATTAGGTAACAGAAAAGATCCGTGCAGTTTTCTTGTTAGCAATGAATTTAGTCCAATTTCAATGTCTATTTTACCAGTTTAATGAATGAAATTGGTATTAGCAGCAAGATACGTTTATGCAGTTGATATCAAATAAAATATAATTATTTTACAAAAACGTTCTATGTGTTTAAATTTTGATTTAAGAACCCGCACGAACCTTTTCCAGCCCCCAATATAATTAAAGAACGAAATTGAAAATTCAATTCTTTTTATTCACAATTTACATCTTTTATTAGTACAAAGACTTTTAATTCTTAACTCTTTTTTCACTTATTATCGAACATCTATATATCTAATTTCGTATTGTTTCTGCTATTGTTAGAATTAAAAATGTTTTCTATAAAACTATACAATTAAAGTTAAAATACAGAGGAGTACAAAGCGTGTTGCTCTCACCAAAGCCTCTACATCACCATATTCGCTCATATTCCAATTAAAATAGTGGATTGATTGAAAGTTATCTTATTTGCCAAAAAAAAAGGAAAACGGAGATAAAAGTTGCATAAAGTTTATTCAATTACTGTTTATTAATCTGTTTAAGTATTCCATCTTATTACTTTTGTATGCGGAATATTTAGAAGAATTGATTTGTGTAAAGAAAATATGTAGTCTTATTTGAACAAAATGGGCTCATTTGCGTACTTGAAGAAAATACAATTTTTTCTTATTTTCGATTGTATTCGAGATATAACTTGGCCCAATTGCGTGACTCACCTTGCACAATCGAGATTCTACTGTATAAACAATGAGGTGGTATAGTACCTTCGACCGCTGATTGTGGTACGCAGTCGCTGACCTTTCGGATTATTACTGCTTTCTTTTTCTTTATAATCCCCCCTGTAAGCATGCCCGAACGAAAAAAACGCCTAATCACATGGGCGGGCCTGCTAGCATCTCCATAATAGTTAATCCTTCTTACCTGAGCTTATGTTAAGAACTCGATGGATTTAACGTCGTCATCTTAATTCCATCTATATCACAATCTAATTAGATTATAATCAATGCGTCCACGTGTGCGGTCAAGACTAACAAGAGAGGCCAAAATTTCTCAAAATGCTTTCAAAACGAAGTTGTGGTAAAGATACAATATGAAAATTATTATATATTTCTAAAGAATTAATAAATAGAACCACAAGGTTTGAATCTCGTGTTGAATTTTCGAATACTACATCAGTTTTCAACACTGGGTTTATGAATGTTTATTGTACAGTTTATTCTATTGGTCTTAGAAAAATTGATGTTCATTCATTTAGATTTTTGAAGTTAGAAGTTTATAGATATACAAGTAAAATACATATTTGTGTTATTGTATTAATAAAAATTGACGTAAACATTGATTAAATAATGTTCATAAAATTCAATATGCGTCAAAGTTCTTAGATATTCTCCAGCAGAAATTGAAACTGTTGTTGTATCTTTAATTACTTAGGAAAACATGAATCGTATAAAAATTCCTATATATTCTTTAAAAACTGACAAATTCACAAAGCCACAAAGATTTGTCACAACATTTGCTGTCATCGGAACAATTTCCAAACGCAGCGTCATTTTCAGAAATCGGATCAAAGGAACCTCTTCAAACGACCTGACCCTATTTTCTGTATACTTTTCAACAGAAACTGCAATACAAATCGTTCGTGCTTATCGAACCAAATGTACAACTAAAATATTCAAAATTCAAATAATTTGAGAACATGCGCCTCTATTCTTCTAAAAGAATCGCAGCTGCGATATGTTCTCCGTGAACAGTCCCAAAATGGCCAATTAAACTATAAAATGGGGCAAAAATCAATATTACTTGAAAACTTACCTTCTGTTTTGCTACCAAATGATCTTTGAAAATAACTTTCTTTAACAACGTATAACTCCTAAACTTTTATATATTTTGACTTCAAAAAGATTCGTAATATAGCTAAATATTAGCAAATATATACGTAACAAATCAGTGAATAGTAGCATCCAACTTTAAAAAGAAACTTCCCAAAGTCTAAAAATTGTCGTTTCAAATGAAAATACTCGGTTAGTCCTTTGCCCTATGATTTCTTTCACAATTGTGCTTGATAAGACTACGTAATCATTAATAATTTAGTAGGAAAAGAAAAAATGAACGCAAAAATCAATATTACAGAAAATCAATATAGTCTAGAATATTCTAATGCCTTGAACGTTTGTTCAAAATACACGTACACGCACAATCGCGCCGTTTATTCATTTGTTCATCTATTCACAGTCACACTCGCTCATCAGTACACCCATTTCCACATATTTTCCTCCCATTTTGTCCGAAAATCGGCCATTTGTCTAACAGCAAACGCGGAAAAACGAAGCATTCGATAGAAAGTGACATAGAACGACTGATATAGGACGCGGCGCGGCGGCGGCGGCGGCCGGTGCGCCACTTTCTTTTCACGTGGGTTGAGAAAAAATGTCCCGACGCCACCCTTTAATCTGGCCACCTTGATATCGCCGCGATCCACGTTGAAATAATACCTCGCCGGTGGCGCGGCGTGAATCAATTCACTCCCGTGTGGATGGAAAACGCGTTACACGGTCACGGTGCTGTGTGCCTGGAATCTAATCTGGATACTGGCTCTTAGTCGTGACTTAAGGGGTTGTTGCGTCGATAGCAGAGGGTAGATTAGCGAGAATAATGCGAGTTTATATTGGCCGGGATTATTTTATCGTGCGTGGACCTTTATTCGGCTAATCTATTGTCATTATTATACCGTACACTTCGGAATGAGTTTCTTAAAAATGTCGGAAATTACGCGTGGAATTCGACGACGTTTATTGACGAAGCTGATACGCCGAAGGAGTTAACGGCAGTATTGAAAAGATGGTAGGCGCTTCTTTGAGAAATTACTAAAGAAATTGATTTAGTGATGTCTAGATTGAAATGTAAGTCAATTGAAATTTCAATAGATGCATCTTTGAGGTTACTATACAAAAATTTGGGAAAATCAATTTGACTGCTCGGTAGTTCTAGTGTTAAAAAAGGAGAAGTTTTATTAGAAAACAGAAATGCTATTGATATTGTTAAATTACCTGTTTACATTAGTGTTACTCTCATTGTCTTATGCAATAGCAATAGCATTATTAACCAAAGAATCATTTCCTTATAATATAATTCTAGTCCTTTACAGACCTCTTTATAACCTAATCAACGGTGACTTCAAGAAAGCTTATCACGCACTTTACCACGTTTATTGTAAAACCAGGTGTCATTCGAAAATAATTTTCATTTATTACTACCATTCGCTATTGTCGGACTGCTTCCTGTCAGTCTTCCTTGACTGGCCTATAGAGTATCGCCATTACCGCAGCAATGCGACGACAGTTCCGGATACTAACAGAACTGCCGTATAATCTTTAGAGTTTCTGAAAAATCCAATTACAGAGTCGAGCATGAAGACCTTTCGGCCTTGATGGAAGTTCCGCGCGAAGGAATACCACGGAGTACCATTCAGTGATTTGTCATGGGCATGTAGGGCTAGAACGGAGGGGCGAGGAGAACGATTCAGAAATTAGACACACCGTTGGCAGGGGTACGCCGGGGAAAAAGAGGCCAGGAGTGTTTTGAAAAATATCTTCGATCGGGTTCCCACGACACGATTTTGTCTCGCAGCGCGAACAAACAGCTATAAATTATCGAAGTTGCGCGAGTCATTTTTGCCGGAATTCAATGGGGATAAATAACTGACGGTTATACCTTTCTCCTCGCAGCACACGCTGCGCCGTGGCGTACCGTTTCGATTTTACAAATTGGAACATTTTTGAAAAATTTCGTTTACGTTATTTTGTATTTATTCAACAAATTGTGATATACATAAACCAAAATGATTTTAAAAATAAATAGTTTCACTTGAATACTATAATGAATACTAGAAAGAAATTACATATTAATCATATTAATCCCTCATAGCTGTAGCGTTAAAAATATTTTATTATTGCATTTGTGTCATTTTGTGTCAGTTAGAAAATTGATATAAAATATTTCTTGTGGATACACTTAACGTTGATGATAATGTTAATGTAGTTTATTAATGTAGACAGCAGGTATGATTGAGTAATACAGAATGCGGGAAAATATTTTTCATGAATATTATTTACTTTTAAAGGAACTATCTTGATTAAGAAGAATTTATAGGATGTTATTGCAATTAAGAAAATGGAGGATATGGGTTTCATAATTTTTTTGGAGTTTTATTTTAATAACTGATTTAAAGGATAGATTAAAGAAAATTGAAGTTGATCATTTTATTAGAAAAAAGATACTTACATCCATGTTCCAGGTGTCGTCGATGCTGCGTCGATGATTATTAGTCGTAAAATAATCAGTAGTGCGTAATACATCGCCATCTTTGCCTGAAAACAAATTTCACGAGCGATGATCAATTTTTGTCGATTATTTTGAATAACTTTTCATTTGGTTTTACGATGAAATATTTTGTAAGTAATATTAATAACTAGAATTCAGGGTAAAAAATTCTAAATAATCTTCCTAACTTTGAAATATCATATACATTCGTGTAAATGTTATATTATAATGTATGACCACTAAGAATTGTAGTATATAATATTTTCAAAAATAAAAGAAATTAAATTTCTAGTTTCACTTGTAAAATGTCAAAGCTAATATACACATTAGGTCAAATAAAATCTGAAAGTTCGTAAATAAAATTTATTTTATCAAATATTAACATAAAAAACTACATTAATAGGTAAATAGCAACATTTTAATAATATATGATTATTATAATGGCACTAAATCAATAAAATTTCCATAAGACGTACTTTAAATACCCAAAACGATTTCACACAACAACAACAACAACAACAACAACAATAAAACTAAACATTACCATAAATACCAAGTTCATATCATTCAGACAATAATCAACTACATCCAAAATTGTCCAACTCCTCAAATTCGAGGACACTTTAATCCCGAAAAAGTCAACCTCCTAAAACCAATGCCAACAACGAAAACAACAATAAATCTAAACATCACGATAAATACCAGGTTCATATCGACCAGACTATAATCAGGTTCACTCAAAATTGTTCAATTCCCTTCAACTACCACAACGATAAAACAAAACTCCCAAGGGACGCACAACTTTGAATACTCAATAGACCCAGGCTAACCGCTTCGATAAAGAAAAAGCATATTCGCGCGACCCGTCACATAAGTACCTACACACGTATACCCTATGTTTTGCGACGCGAGCGAAACAGCGAAACGCAGAAGAATAGCGTTTCAGAAGGTAAATCGGAACGGCAACGTTAAGTGCCTCACCCGGTATACATAACCAGTACCTGAGCGTACATAAGGTACCAGCCGTATACCAGTTCTGTGGGCAGCAAGCACGCCGAGGACTCGGCTCAGAACGAAAGACACCTAAGTCCAGGCGATTATGGTACATCGATTCGACATTACACCTTGCTTGCTCCTGAAGCGACTCGCCGTGGCTCCTCGGTTCTTGCTCTCGAGGCGCGGCGCGTCGAGGCTGCACGGACTGGTTAATAGAAACTACGGTGCTGAGTTACGAGTCGCAAACTCTATAACTTTTCATTTTCCGCCGCACGGCGTTACACCGGGGGCACATGAGGACTGCTGGGCCCCGATGACTAAAGGTACACGCCGCGAAACGCGTATTTATGCTTCGCGGATTTTCCATTTCTCCCCCATCCCCCTTTGGTTTTTGCTTCTCTTTTCAATCTCTTCTCTCTCCGTGCTCGTATCAGCCGTCAGCGATATCGGATCGACGCACAGTGTCGCCGCCTCTGGACAAAACCCAAAAATTCGATTACTCGCATAACGAAATTGAAGATTACCAATTTGTTGCCAAGTAGTTTCTGCTATAAAGAGTGATTTTTATTTTCGAAATTAACACGTTACACGCGGGCTCCGCGATATTGCGGGATTGTTTTTCAGTCAGTATTCACGTCTTACGCATTGATGTTTATTTATCAATTAAAAATTTCGGTATTGTTGGATCGTTGGTTTCTGTTGATGTGTATATGACGAATGTTCAATCAAAGTATACTATTTTATCAAGATTTATAAGGTTTTTAATATTTTCTTTCACTGCCCATTCTTCAGAGACAAGCAAGTAAGGCCAGCATTCAGGCTTTCAGCGGCTGATATTTAACCGGCGTGCAATGTGTTAATGAATAATAACCACTCTTTAACAGGTTCAAAGATTGCCCTACCGATATTGCAGGCTTTCCACGTATTTATATTTTTACCTTGTACTTATTTTTAAATCTATTACAGATTTTTAGCAATCGGATATAATCTCCGAAGCATATAGAACTCACTTCGCTAGGACGAATCGAACTGCATCCCTTCCGTTTACGCGGTGGTTTATTTACGCGAGTTTCTTATCAAGTTGGCGCATATGAAATGTCGGATTTTTCTTATTCGTGAGTGTTTGTATTCCTATCGTTGTTATGCATTTGATCTTCATATAATTCTCTTCTATTTATTCTCTTTCTTTGCGGCGTGTGCGTTCTGCGCATTTCTACAGTTCCAGATCTCTTGAAAATGTATAAAAGTCTGCAGCCTAATTGTAATCCTACTTATACGTGGTAGTATTTATACGCGATCGAAATTTGATGAAATCGAATGTAATTTACTTTCGTTTTCTGATATGCCGTTATTATTATTCTTTCGTTAAATTACTATAATAAATATTATCTTAATACTATATATCTTTCAAGCTAATACCAGCTTTTCTTTCCAACGTTTTGTTTTCTCTTGCACCGATAGACTCTATTTATGCCATTGAAAATCGTGTGAAACGAATCCGTGTACTTAGAAAGTGTAAATGGAGGGACGGATGGATTCGCGAGATCAATTCTTTACCGTACAATGTCGCATCAAACTCCGAGAAGAAGTTGTCGAACGTAAGTTACAAAAATGAAATGTCACTCGATTAGTTTGCGTTCAAATTGAATATTATTTTTCTACTATTAATTGCTGTGTTCTGGAGAAAATGTGGATATAAATGAATTTGGTATTTCTCTTTGTCTTGTGGTACAATTACGAAAGAAGTCAATTCATGCAAAATGATTAAACTGAATTTTGAATTAAAATTTTAAGAAGGGCCTGTTAACACCTCGAAAACTTAAAAACAGTTTTAAGTTAAAATTTTAAAAAGGTGCCTATTAACACCTTTATTAAAAATAATATTAATTCCCATCGGTTCGAATTATTCGAAGCACTATCTAACCAGGAAGCGAAATCACCTCAGCCCATTCGTAAAAGGAAAAAGAATCCCTGTTCGAGGAAGTTAACTCGTCTTCCGCGGTTAACAGATTAAAGGAACATGAAGCATCACCGTGCAGGTAAATCTAAAACTTCGGGCCATTATGGCGCATCGATTCCTGCGTTACACCTTGCCCTGCCACGATGGGTGGCTGCTCCTTTCAGGTTTACCTGCTGCGACTGGTTAGTATGTAGGTATACGCCGGCGCAGCGGAGCAACGAATCGTAAATTTTGTAACTTTTGATCTCCGTCCTGTTTTCATTTCGACGAGGTGACCACGCAACAAATTTGATACGCTTGATATCGGCTGCTTTTTTGTGGGAAGGAGGCGACCCTTCGTCGATCATTCTCTTTCGGGAAAAATACTAGGGCGACTACTTTAAATATTCGCATGAATCCATGAACATAATGAATTTCTTACCTTTTATAAACTCGTGAAAATAATAAATGCGTAGGAAAAATTTAACGAGGCAATAAATAGAGGAGTTGAAAACTGTTTTAATTCCGATTGTACTACTTACTTAATAACACGATTAACAGCATGCTTTGGTAGTTGAAAGGAATTTGAAAATTAAACTAATTAGAAAAACCGGAAATTTCAGTATTAATAAATGAATATGATCGTACTACATTTTTTTGAATGCATAACATAAATAGTTTTACCTTTCTCAGTATTTTCTTGAGTTTTCCGTATTTTAAAATAGTTTTTGCAAAATTTCTAAGACGCATGTATGCAAAATGTCTAAGACTTTCATATTTATTATAAAATTGAATGTGAAGAAATTGCGATTTCAACTTTGCTTTGAAGTTATTAACAATTAATGATCTTTATGAATTATGACGGTACAGGAATAGCGGTACACGTGAGGTAGGTCAGTATAAGCGAGGATAGTGGCATATCGTGTAATAAATTAACAAGGTATGTTCGATAAATGACACACGTCTATTTTTATGTGACTTTGTACATAGAATGGTTTATTGGACCAAGCTAACAAAGTTATCGTACTCGATGGATGTTATTTTTACGGTTTTAGGGAGAAGCCACCCTATTTTAGGAGTTTAAAGCATAGATATATAAAATAGATTGAAAGAAACATTTATGAACAACCTTTTCATTTAATTTTTTGCACTTGAGAGGCGACTTTAGTCGCCATTTAATTCGATGTAGCCACATTAAAAAGTTAAAAATTCTATATTAAAATTTGTACCATATACGAATGCATGAAATATTTAAATAAAATGGTTTTGTTTCTTAATTTATGCAAGATTTTTCTTTATATTAGTTGCAAAAAATATCATCGGTTTCTCGTCGGAGTAATAAGCGTTTCTAATGAAAATTATTGTCGATTGCAAAGGGTCAAAACGCACGATAATAATCTTCCTTTATTCAAAAGCTGCAATTCTCACTAAACCAACATTTCCCAATGACCACATTAAACATAGCCGTACTCCTTTCAGACCGAAACGAGACAAAAGATAGCAATCTACCATTCGCGGGGAAATCTTAACGACGAAACGGCCGGACATTTCGCGCGGAGCGTTAAATCAGCAGCGCGTTAGATCAAGAACGATTCGTTCGTGGCAGGACAGAAATCCGTCTACCGATAACCATTATATTATATAATGTAGCGAGCACGGACGATTCCGTAAGCTGGTTTCACCGCGGCCGGCTCAGTTCCGCCATTGAGATATCCGAGCGCGCATCTGAAACACCCTGTATGTCCGCGTTTATCTAGCCCACGCGATCGGGCCAGAGTATTAGCCGGCATATAAAATGCATTTGTGATCACGACAGGAATGTAAATGGCGTGCTTCAGCACGTCTCTCGCCGGGGCCAGCCTCGAATTATCAGCAATAAAGTATCTCGCTGGCGTGTTGAACAAGACATGACCGGCGGTAGTGCAAGCACCGCTACATTTGTTGCTGAATGAGCCAGTCCCGGGGCCCCGATGATCGTCGATCCTCTCGGCGCAGCTGGATGATACCACCGCTGCTTAATAATGAACGTAAAGGATCGTTGGTCCAATATTAAAGGTGCGCGTATGACGGTTCGCCCGGATGGCAAGGCACAGCCAATAAAACGAGGGGACC